CGTGACGTGCAGTGCGGTGCCGTGACGTGCAGTGCGGTGCCGTGACGTGTAGTGCTGTGCCGTGACGTGTAGTGTGGTGCCGTGACGTGTAGTGCGGTGCCGTGACGTGCAGTGCGGTGCCGTGACGTGTAGTGTGGTGCCGTGACGTGTAGTGCGATGCAGTGTAGTCTAGTGCAGTGCAGTGTAGTCTAGTGCGATGCAGTGACGTGTAGTGCGGTGCCGTGACGTGTAGTGCGGTGCCGTGACGTGTAGTGTGGTGCCGTGACGTGTAGTGTGGTGTCGTGACGTGTAGTGTGGTGTCATGACGTGTAGTGTGCTGCCGTGGAGTGTAATATAGTTTATTGCAAGGCAGTGCAGTAACATGCATTGCAGTGTAGTGTAGCGTTGTGTAGTATTATGTAGGGTAGTGCAGCCCAGTGAGTGAAGTGTGTCTTAATATGTGCTCAGTATAGTTATTATATTTAGTTATTATCATTTTGTTTTCGCGTGTAGCCATGTAGCCAAAACTAAAAGTGGACATGGGGATGCAGTGGATAAGGGAGTTTGGTAATAGGATAAAATCATGGGTGCATACGCGAGTCAAGTCAAGAACCAAGGAATATAGGGTGCCACATAGGACTATAACCACTCTTATGAGTAGAGAGCACTACATTCACCCCAATATTTAGCAGTAGCTGTGAGAATGTAATGAAATGTAATGTGGGGGGTGTTTGAACAGGCGAATGCGACTTTGAGGGCGATGCATGTGGATGGAAGGACGTCAGTACAAAGGCATATAAGTGGGTGTGGACGACCGCCCAGGATAGCATGGCAGTAAACAAACCACCCAGCGATCATACACTTGGAATGGCACAGGGTATGAAAGTCGTGTCCAGGTCTATCAGCTTATCAGGAATTGTGAGAGATATAATATTTGTGTCATATGTGTCAATGTCATATATTTTTTTAAATTTTACCTATCGCACCACACGTATGATGGAGTGTGTTTGCGCAAGGCTTGGGAAAATTGGTTTTGCTCTACTAAAAGCTAAGAAGATCTTGCCCAATTAGGTTTAACATCACAATTTCACCATTGGCTTTACATTCCTTGTCATCACTCTATAGGACACTACATGCTAGCTGACGGAAGCCTTTCAGGAAATTTGGTCACATATGCCACGATGCAGACGCCAGTGTTCCAAGAAGTGCCACTCACATGCATGGTTCAGTTCTACTACTACCTCAACGGTGGAACCTATGGTAAGGGAAGTTTTCCGGTTATGTGTGGCAAGTCTATATTACTTATATTATGGCTACACTGGATGTGCAAACCTATGCCTAATGACTGGAAATTGTGGCTGGAATGTTTGCATGAACCCATCCAAATGAGTCAAAATCATTTGTCTCCAATGACAAGCCCAATAATAGCATGAACCTATGTATACTTGTTTACATATGTTCATGTTAATACAGTTGGGTAATTTTTGATGTGACATTATAATGCCTTTTCATTTTCATAATGACCTAAATTGTACATGCGTTTAGAAGACCAATGGAAAATTCTCGAGAAGGCTAATTTATAATCCCCTCATATTCTGCGACATCGCTCACCTACTTACTCAAAATACTTGCTGTACGGTAATTCTAATGTAAGCCTAGCTACGAGAGGATGTATATAGGTATATAGATGTGCCCTACAAGTGCTTTGCTGCCCATGAGCTGACAAGACTCTATGATATTGTAATAAATTTCCGTGCCAGATACTTCTAGTCTGAGAATCCGTCGCAGTCTAATTGATATATCTCTTCATTCTGGATCATGCTTGGTGTTATCATTATGCTTAATGTAGGTTTCCTTGTTTTCTAGGTTACCTCGACGTGTATATTGCCAATGCTACTCAGCCGTCATCTAGGTCACTGTTGTTCTATGATTACGTAACAAGTTCGGCGTGGCGAGAGGTTGTGGTGGACATTGGCGGCTACCCTTCTGGAAAAATGGTAACACAAGTGGTTTGCATGCATGCGTTTTTTTGTTTCCACTTCTGCATCCACCTAGCAGATAAACATTAATCAATGGCTTTGTATATATGATTAAGGTGATTCATGGAATCTTTCCTGGCAAGTGTTAAATTTGTATCAGTACATGGTGGGGAAAAGTCATATAATGTGCAATTTATATAAGTGTGCTGCAGCCTGCACACTAAACTTATATTATTTATTTTATAGATATTATATAGCTATTGATATACAGACACAGACACTGCCCTATTGGCTCGTGTGTTTTTTAGTTTAATAAATGTTTTTACAAGGATATGTATTCGATAATGAAGTAATTGTCACGTACATCTACCTGGTATAGTTACAGCTTGAAGTTTTCACATTAAATGATGTGAGCACATCCACCTCATTCCCTGGAGGTACGACTCCATACCCTTGGATTCCGATAGATGTTGCCATCGACGATGTCAGTTATATCAACTGCACAGTGGGTTTTAGAAATCCAGGTATGCTTCTTATGTCTGTGCCAAGTATTGCATATATTCCCTGTGGAATAGGAGCATGGAAGACAATATCAATAAACAGGGTGAACGATGAAGATTTAGAGACAATTAAAGCTAGACATGCCTAGAGAACTAATAGTAGTAGTGTAGTGTAGTAGAAGGATTCGCAGGTGGAAAACCTGACAGGGGCTGCGACGTGAATGCTCCTTCTGTGACCACCACGATAATCTATGTATAAATCGCCTCAGGAGGTGTTGGTCAATGCAGGGCACTCATGCAGTAATGGGTGTAGCATATTTAGCATGTATATGATATGCCAGATGGCGCACACAACACTGCGCGGGAGATCCGATATATGGCGTTTATAGTTGTTTAATGAAAAGCTTTGTTACGGCATACTTATGTCTTACAAGCGTGTTCTGTTGCGGTCATAAACTCATTACAATGGGGATACATTGAAGCTGGCCAAATCGACTACTGTGGGGAATACCAGACTATGGAACATCTGGAATGCCTCCTATTACCAGAGCCCTGTAGCCCTGGAGACCTTGAGGCTTTCAACCACAGTGCCAGATCCTGTGTGCTGCAGTGGCTAGGACGAGTGTAGCGTAGTGACCCAAAACGGAGAACCTAATGAATTAAAGAATGGGAGAAATGAGCCAATTGCAAAGGGCAGAGAATTTTTGCAGAGTAGGGGACGTGTGTAAACAGTATAGTGAATAAAGGAAGAACACGTATATGTTACAGGTATTTTGGAATAGAGTGTGGGGAAAATGGGAATTGATGGAAAGTAGAAATTCTAGTCATCCCAATATAGTAAAAAACACTCAGGAATTTTCTAATACAGGATATATATATATGTGTATACTAGATTTAGAGTGAGTTTGCAAGAGGTTAAGTTAATGGTATATAATTTAAGGTGATCAATGAACCCCATAATTAATCATTATCTATTGTCTGTTGTACACACAGACATTAACTGTACATTCGATGATGGTTGGTGTGGATGGTACAGAGACCGAACTTATTCACAATTTGACTGGATCAGGACATCAGGTGTTACAGGCTCCGTTAATACAGGCCCTACTACTGACCATACTACTGGCTCAGGTAAGGTAGAATTTTTCTCTAGACTGGTAAGGTGGAACGATAGGATTAAGTTTGTTCAATTTCCTTATTTATTTGGCTTTTGTACGTAAGTGGAACCATCCACACTGCTGTATTTTCCGACCTTGAAAATACAAATTTATTATGTTTGTTATGTCTGTGTTTCTTACACGTGTTTTGCAGGCTACTATGTATACATAGAGACCTCTACCCCTCAAAAGGCTGGTGACATATCATGGTTGATAACGACACTCCAAGATAGCATACCAACTGCAGGAGCATGTCTGCGCTTCTGGTACCACATGTTTGGCGAAAACGTAGACACTCTCAACGTCTATTACAATCACAAGGACACGAACGTGCTTATATGGTCGCTGACAGGGAACAAAGGTATGTATCACATGCATGCTACTAACATTACACATTCCTATAGTTTTACATAAAAAACGACCACAGCAATGGGCGTGTATCTGTATTAACCTCGTTGTCTTTACTTCAGGAAATCAATGGTGGCCTGGTCAAGCCTGGTTTGCTCCAAGTGGTGAATACTATGTAAGGCATATACATCCAGGACTATCCTCCGTTATTAGGAAAACACGTTCATATGATATCTATATTATGTATAGTACAGGATCACCACAAGCAACTGTTAATGTTCTTTCAATGTCATATTAAATAACATTATAAATAACGGTTTTGTATAAAATATGTAAAATGTTACACAGAATATCACGAACATGTCGAACTATTGATAGACTCCTGATATTATTCGTATTTGCGTTCATGCTAATAGTGGTTACCTAGATTTGCAATGCATTTTCCAATTTAATGACTTGCTCTATGTTTGGTACAGCTTATTATGGAAGGAGTGGTTGGAAATGGTTACATGGGTGACATTGCACTGGATGACATACTGGTGACACCTGGAAACTGCCCCACAACAAGTAATCTGGCTTCTATATTACTGTCTTACCGCATTCCCAAACGTATGCCCATAGTATATGTCACAACATGTAGTAAACCTGAACATAACTGTACAAGTTTGTACATGCAAAAATGTAATCTGAGTACATATGCATTGTATTTTTACTTATCTACACAGTTAATTTCATTTTTTAAACTTTAAATATAATTGATTTTTACCTAATTTTATTTGCCATCTGTATATGAATTAAATGATTGTTGATGAATTACACATCTATTTGTAGAAATATGCCATTTCGAGGTTGACCTTTGTGGCTGGACGTCTGACAGTACGGGAGATTACAAGTGGAAACGAGGGCAAAATGGAAGCTCCATCCTAGGGACAGGACCTGAACGTGACCACACCACCAATACTACCAAAGGTATGCACTGCCAAATTCCCAATGCCCAATATTAATACCCAATATATGCAATACTACAAAACAAGTTTGCCACAGCACCAGTAAAGCAGAACATTGAATATTAACTTTGCATAATAGAAATAGTAGCTTTAAGTATGTAAAGTTCCATTTTCAAATTTCATTTTAGGTAATGCCCCATGTCAAAATGCTTTTCATTACTAGGATAAAGATGCATCAGGTAATGCAACGGTTGAAGTGAAGATATATAGGTATATAATATATTCTGATGTATTCGTTTGATGTTGATGTTGCTAGGTTACTTTGTGTACGTTGACCCCCTCGACAATGACCCCCACAAGAAAGGTCGTCTGGTCAGTCCCACATACGACTATACATCTACTGCTGAATGCCTTGACTTTTGGTACCACATTACAAACAATACAGGTAATACATATAGTCTCCCAAAGATTGGGAAAAATAGTTGTATAGTTTTCTGTGTTCATCTGAATACATGTGAACACAATGTTTGTGAGTATATCTTGTAATGATGTGTTGATGGAATGTGTAAAAGGTTAATGGATAATAACGTGAAAAGAAATACTAAAATTAATGACATGACTTACTTTGGATGTTTTTCAATTGCCATACTATAACCATAACTCGTGATAATTAATATCATACCCACTTTAATTATGGTTCTATAGGAGTGCTAAACGTTTACATAAAGGAGAACAACCAAATTGGGTCACCCCTCTGGTCACTCTCTGGTGACCATGGAAATATGTGGAGATTTGCTATGGTGAACCTAAAACCAAAGTCGGGCTCTTTTCAAGTAAGTCCTGATCAAAACTGGAACCCTTTACAACTATGGAGTTCCTGTTCATCTTTGAAAAATGATTTTAATTGCCTTGCATTTCTATTTGAGGTTTCAATCCTAGACATCGCATGCTCCTGTACTTCACTATTTGCCTGTAAACGAGCTCCCACTTGTCTGTTTCTGCTTTGCCTTTTAACCTACAGACCTATGGCCCCTTTTCCTGTGCATTGCTTGGATTATCATGTAATTTCACCACAATCCCATTTTCGAACTCGTCTACCCATGCAGCATCTTGCGTTACAGCATTTCTCTCGTTGGCCAGCCATGAGCACATACTCGCCACGAGGTATCTGGTCCACGTAACATTCAGTGTCGTTTTTTTTCGCAGGCTGTGATTGAGGGCGTGATTAGTCCTAACCCGAACAGGGAGGGCACGCTTGCCGTCGATGATGTGTGGCTAGACAGCAGTCCCTGTCCGCCCATGGGCAGCTGCACATTCGAGCGTCATGTATGTACGTTCTACAACGACCGCAGCAGTGCCACCATGGATTGGCTGCGCACTAATGGACAAACCACAAGCTTTTACACCGGACCCAGCATTGATCACACACTCGGAACGGCCCAGGGTATAATATCGGGGTCTTTGGTTAACCAGACTATACGGGAAACACATGCACAGTTACATTGTGTTTAAGTGTACCTGTAATTTTGCCACAAGTCCCTATTGTCATTTATTTCTTCTATGTATATTATTTTTGCTCTTAATTATAGTGTCATTATACTTTGTCTTATGCATCTCATCCATTCCTCTTCATCTTTACCCCTTTCATTCTTTTTCTCATTCTTCTTCCACCTCTTTTTTTTCTTTTTCTTTTTCGTCTTACACTTACACTTAATGTTTAATCGACTAGTATTGGACATGACCTATTTGATTCCTATATATGGCTTGAATATGTTAAGTTTCTTCTTAAATATCCATAGATGTACAGAATCCATCACATATATCTGTGCTCCATCTGGTCCAGTCACTCACAACTCCTTAGCTGAAGAAGTGGTGCCTAGCTGTTTTCTTGTGTAATTTTAGTGAATTACCTCTGGTGACCATGCAGTCCTTCTTTTAGTACTTTACTGCTTGTTCTTCTTCGTCGTCTTCTTTTTCCTCTTCTTCTTTTTCTTCCTCCTCTTCTTCGTCCTAGCTCTTCTTCTTTTTCTTCCCCCTCCTCCTCCTCCTCCTCCTCCTCCTCCTCCTCTGACCCTTCTTCTTCTTCTCTTTTGTCTACTTCTTTGTCTTCATCATTGTTGTTGACGTCGTCAGAGTAATTGTTTATCGATGTCATCTTGATGGTTCTTCCTGTTATTTTGTATCTCATCTTCGGCATATTACCTGGTATCATTAGCATTATCAACATGGATATTCCTCAATACGTCTACGAATTAAGGACATGGTACTTGGTAGGAGCTGGCAGACAGAACGTGTTTACGGTTCTACACTCCTGATATGTGTAATATTGACTTTTGTAGGCTACTACATGTATATTGAGACGTCAACACCAGCATCGAACGGTGACAATGCTATCATGCTCACTGAATACATGCCAGCCACTGACACTGGAACCTGTCTCAGTTTCTGGTACCACATGTTTGGACAAGGTCTGGGATTTCATTAGCATTTCCACTTGAAACTCTACTAATAGCATACATGTACAGATTACATATACTTTACTTAAACTCAAATATAATACTTAAAACACTAGTTATATTAATTAGTTATAATAATTAATGATAATAATTATAATAATTACTTAATTAGTTATATTATGTACTATATTTATAGTATTTCATTTATTACTTGCATTTTCTACTACTTGAAATGGAGTTTTTTTAGTTTTCTTAATGATTTTACAAATTTTGAAGCCTCTTAAAATTACACACACAAAGATATACTATATATAGATATAATCAAGTGGATTAATAGAGAAGAGTATGTCAGGGTTTTAACAGCGTTTTGCCATAGTTTTGAACTGGTAACTAATCTATCAATATGTGAATAAATATATTTCAAACTTACCTTGTTTTCGTCTATGATTCTCCCTTATTCATATGACACCACCAATTTACCTGAAAATCGTATGTGTTCTTCAAAAAAGTTAGTTGAATACGACACGGTTTCCCACAGTTATCACGCATGGATACATCTCTCGACCGAACTTTGTTTTATGGACTAGTGTTCTATTGTCTATGACGCGAATTTGGGGGTCGTTATGGGATATTAGGCCATCGAATTGTATTCAGCGTGCAGCGTTTCCAGCGTGCTAAAATAAATGCGCTCACGGCCAGCTAGCTAGCAGCTGATTTCCTTACGGCCCCCAGCGTACGCTCATAGGACAATAGAACACTAGTCCCATAAACAAAGTTCGGTCGGAGAGATGTATCCATGCGTGATAACTGTGGGAAACCGTGTCGTATTCAACTAACTTTTTTGAAGAACACATACGATTTTCAAGGTAAATTGGTGCGTGTCATATGAATAAGGGGAGAATCATAGACGAAAACAAGGTTAAGTTTGAATATATTTACTTCACATATTGATAGATTAGTTACCAGTTCAAAACTATGCAAAACGCTGTTAAAACCCTGACATACTCTTCTCTATTATCCACTCTTGATATAATCTAAATGTTTTTACAACTAGTGGTATTTATGTTTTAGATATAGGCAGATTAACAGTATACCTTCTGGATGCTGGTACAGACTGGGGGAATGGCCAGTCTATATTCAACCTAACTGGTGAACAGGGAAATGTATGGGTGAACATCAATGTGACCATCATTCACAATAAGGAATTCCAGGTAAGGTGATGTACAACTCAGATTTTTTATCACCAAAATACAGCACCACAACCATTCTTTAATGCAGACAGCAATATATTTGTAACTGCAAATATTCTATTGGATGATGCAGATTTAGAATGAAATTTTATTGTCATTTATTAATCAGACCGTACTGGGTCTCCGGTTATATTTCGCATCTAGGTCTTCCTCTCTTTTAATTTACTTATATTTTCATCCTATAATTTTCACAATTTACCTAACAGTTACATTATCATAGTCAAATTGAGCCAAAGAAGGGAAAATGCTGTAGTTTCCATGTCAGGATATAATGATAGATTTATGGAAGATGAGCGTAGAAGGAAACATATGCCAATGTTCATAAATGAAATCAGTAATATAGCTGATATAGGCCGCTGGGGATTGCATTGTATTCCTGTAACGGAAATACTTACTACTTTTAACAATAATTTTCGTACCAGTAGTCAATATATATTTGTCAACCTCAGTGATTGTTAGCAATACTAGTTAGTATCAAGAGCGTATAAAGAAGGATAATGGCTGCGTCAATGACTGGAAATGCGAGAAAAGATAGTAGAAGGAAAAGAAATTTTATTGTCAATGAATGACGGAAACACGCGAGGTTTCCCGAAGCTATCGCCAGAACGAGAGACAGTCGCAGCCATTACGTATCTCGAGTCGGTTTTCGGCAAAAATACCAGCTCGAAAAATTTTCACCACTCATTATCTCGGCATAGAGGCATCGTAGGGACAAGCGGTTTGTTTTATATTAGCAAGGTAGGACAGCAGATCAATAATACCACAAAGAATCGTAAAAATAAAACGGGGAGAGTTTATTAATTCGACAAATACTGCAACATGGTTTCAGCATTTCACCGTTGTACGTTCTCCTTCTTTATACGCTCTTATTAGTATACATTACACATAATTTCACTGATGGATATCATTGCTCAGTTGGCTCAATTCACTGTGATATCACCATTTATTATAGAAATTTTAATTCTGTTGTGCAATACAATGAATGTTATTATCATTATCATCATACTGGTTACGGTATGTCAATGATCATGCGTGATGTCTTTGTGATTTAGATTGCATTCGAGGGAGTTGTAGGAAGTGGTTACATGGGGGACATTGCACTCGATGATGTGTATTTCTACGATGGAGTTTGCCATGGTCAGGCGACACCCACCACCACTGACTATTCACCAACCACCGTTACCTTTCGTGAGTGACCGTTAAGTCATGCGGTGTTCGCTCTCATGGTCATAGACTACACGAGAATATTTTTCTCCTTGAAGCAAAATTGTGTATATCTTGAATTGGAATGCAAATCTTGATACCTACCCATCCATATTCATAACTATAACAATTAAACATTAAAGCACTTTTGATGTTGCATTTGTAGTACACACGCTGTGAACTGCCTTTTATATGGATAAAATCAGTAGTAATGTAATTATCAGGTTGGAATCATCACCAGTTACAGTTATAAGAACCTGGTGTGACTGCCATAAGTCAAGACTAGTCATTCATTGTTAACTGTTCATTGTGAAGATTGTGTAAAAAATATTCTCACGTTGGCTCTAGAAACTAAACTTGTGGATTATTACATTATAATACCTACTCAGACCCTCTATTCTGATTTATCATTAACTGACCAGTCTGAAAACTGACATGAAAACTGTTAGTTAAGTTAACAGTACATCAAATGCTAATTTGGTTAATATAAGAACTGTTAGTCAAGTTGATGTAAACACTGTTAATTATGTTGCTCCTGATAAGTTAATACTACACTCGTTGCTTTGGTGCTTCACAGCTGCATCTCAATATGACTGTGATTTTGAGGGAAATACCAAGTGCTCATGGACAGATGACCCGACTGGAGATTTCACCTTTGCGCTACAGCAGGGCAATACTGTCTCCGTGTCCACAGGCCCTTCAACTGACCACACTACCGGCACAAGTTCGGGTGAGAAGCAGTCACGCATCACTTTATCATGTTGCATTAAACGTAGGGACGTAATCTGATGAGACCACTACAAATGAAAATAGGTCATTCAATAACAAATTTGATGATATCAATTATTTTACTGAAGCCATAGAAGCTGACCCAGTAGAATCACATCCCATAGTGGTGGCCAATGCTTCTTTTCCAATATGCATTTAATCTGCTATGAATATATGTTTATATATTATGCTATATAGTATGCTCTGCTATTAATATTCTGCTATATAATATGCTCTATGCCCAGGACTACTTATCTCTACCATATATTACTACTGGTACCTATTATCGTTGTCATGAACATATTTATACCAAGGTATCATAGTGTTATACTATTCAGTATACGTATGTTCATGCTATTATAATACACATATATACTATGCATTATGAACCCTACCCACTACTATTATAATACTTGTAATGCTTTTTCTACTACTATAATTCTGCTAGTTGTGTCTACCTTCAGGATGGTACATTTACATTGAGGTCACTGGCGTGGCAATTGGCTTTAAAGCACGCCTCCTAAGCGACCTCGTAAACATCAACACAGCTGGGAAATGTGTAAAGTTCTGGTATCACATGTATGGAGCAGATGTTGCCACACTAAGCTTGTATGCCAGGCAAGGTAAGCGGTTGGCTAGTTGTGACAACTCGCATAGACAAAAACTCGTAGTAACAGCGGCCACATCATAGCAGTGTGATTTCTCAGAATAGTGATTAAGGCATGATCTGTGAGCTAGTGGATTCTTCGTGGGAAAACTATGATTAACATACTTGCTTTCGTTAAAAAATGTAGCAAATCTTATTAGCAGTTAATCATCCTAGCTGGCCATTTTCTAATAGGATGGCACTTTCAAAGCGTCACATGTTTAAATATTGTTCCCTTGATTTTAATCCCTTCCTGTGCTCCATGCTCCCTGGGCAGGGAACATCGTTGTGCACTGACATGGGTTTCCCTATAGTTAACAATTTACTAAATACGTAAATAATATAATTAAACTACGTCTCCAGATCCCGACGTGTTGGGCGATGCCATCTGGTACAAGGACGGGAACCAGGGTGATGCGTGGATGTATGGTCAGGTACACCTCAGTGACCTTGGATCCCGGCGTATCGTGTTTGAAGCCATGGCTGGTGCGAATTTCTTGGGGGACATCGCCATCGATGACATCACAGTAAATGATGGAGACTGCCCGCCACAGGATGGTACAATATATATATATAACATCAGGAATAATAGTCTCATTTGAGATTATTTATTTCTGTTAACATGTTATCATAGTATAATAAGGCTTATACCTATAGCCTTCAGCCTTAAAGTTTATACCTAGCCTCGGATCGTGGTCGCTCGCATTGTTTACAGTGTTTACGTCGGATCTGTCCTAATGAATTTATAATCGTCTCATTGGTAACGTCATCCATTGAAAAACATATCCTGCAGTTTGGCGTCACCTGCATCAGAACCATACTTGCGTATCATGCCGTTGTCTTTACCATAGCATTGCATCTGTGCTTTCAGCGTCGTGTGACTTTGAGAGTTCCGACATGTGCGGATACAAGCACGACGTTACCAGCGATTTCAAGTGGAGGTGGAATCAAGGCCATGCCGGTTCCTCCGGCAGTGGCCCCTCGGCAGATCACACTTATGGCACCAGCTTTGGTATTTAGTTTAGGATAAGGTCATAGAGGGCAGCGTGTGAGTGATGTCCTTTAGTGGTTGCTTTGTTAGTTAGGATTACAACTATGGCAAATGGTTAAATTATTTTCTAGGAAAGGTGTACATGCTGTATTGTATTGTACTTTAGTTGGGTTCTCACCAGGTTAATTGTAATTGTAGTTAATTGCATTCGCTTAAAGATGTGAAGACTTTTTATAATGGCATTTGAAGAACATTCATAGTTGGTCATCAAAACGTTAGTGAATGTAAACAAACTTCCCCTCTACACTGCCCTATCAAATCGTCGTCATGTGAATTCACGCAAATTCGTTCTCTATCAGTTTCTTGCAGAGAATACAACGCTCTCTATGCAGTGAATAGATGGATAGCTTATTCACAGGTCACTACGTCTATATTGAGACGTCAGCTCAGGTGGCTGGCGAGACCGCGCGTCTCATCTCTGGCCCTCATGCGCAGACGGACGGCAAGTGCCTGAAGTTCTACTACCACATGTACGGTGACCACGTCGACACACTGAACGTCTACCTCAAGCAGTCGGCCGCACTTGGACAGCCCGTGTGGACGATGTCCGGTAACCAGGGTGACACCTGGTTCCACGGCATGGTCGATGTGAAGACTCCGATCACGTACCATGTGAGTCTACGTAAATGCTGTGCAAATTCTTCTCATTTTGGGGTTGAATCATGCAGTGAAGTGAGCTGAAACGTTTACAGAAAATTACTCTTTCGGACAGTGTCTTGGACAGCTGATCGTGGTGCAGTGACGGAGCTGTAGCCTTCACTGGAAGCAGCTGCACGCACTCTAAACATTTTTGAGAAACTTTAATGTGTCTAATGCATGTAAATATGCCGAAAATAAATGTGTTAACTAGTAGAAAAAGAATTACCAAAAACAATAGTAGAATTATAAGTAATACTTCTGCAGTTGTATTTAATAGAATTTATGTAATTTAAAACACAAAAATTATTAAAGGGACAGTAGCCTCTAGGATTTTACTGCATACAACTGTACTTACTGTATAACAACTCGTCTATACCCACACGTATTTGTTACCAGATACCTAATTTAATTGTTATAATTAATTACACATCAACGCTACGAAATTTGAACGGCGCCATGACACCCGCGACCGTGCTGCCACCCCGAAAAAGTTGCGTATTTGACAATTAATTTTGCACGTTACAGACCGAGGGCTAATCACAAAAGTGCAATTATATTTATACCTAAATGCTATTTAACCGAACGATATTCATTTTAGGGCAAATTTATCCATATTATAACTGAAACTATATGTCGTTTATAAGATATTACAATCCTTTTGCTTTTAAATGAATAAATAAGAAACACCTTCGGTCTGTATAGCCCTTGGCTGGAAAGTGGTTTTGCGCAACTTATCAGATCGTGCGCTTTGAGTGGCGCCACCGTCGTTGTAATCAAACTGTAGTCGTTAGTTTTAAAACGTTTTTTTAATAATATCTCTAATGGTGATTGAACCATGAAACTTTTTATGTAGCCTAATTTTAATCTAAATTAACTGAAAATAACCTTAGAACCTAGAGTAAACGATCTCTTTAATTACTTGCTTAGATCACGAAATTGGCCTCTGTGGAATTTTCCGGTTAGCGAATGACTAACGCCGCTTGATTCAATGTTGAGTTCCATATGCATTGCGTGCATTCCGAGTGTCTTATATCATTTTTTGTCTCTTTTTAAATTAGGGTGGTTAGTATTGCTGATAGGATCTGTCTCCTTGGGTACTGTCCAAAAATTCCTACAACCTAACCCTACATTACCCTATGTAACCCTACGTTACAACGTGAGCCTAACCCTAGCCCAACCCTAACCCTATCCCCAATCCAATTCTAATCCTACCCTAACCATAACCCTACCACTAATCCTAACCCAACACTAATCCTACTCCAACCCTAATCCTAACATAACCGTAACTGTTATGCTAACCCACCTTCATACTAAGGTGAAGTACCCTAGTAGGTATCCAGTTCTTCTACCTAGAATGACATAGAGCCTTATACTTTATAGTGTTAGTAATGATGGTACGCCCATTGCTGTCTTATTGCGATATATTGTTGAATCGTTCCGAGTACAGGTTGTGTTTGAGGGTGTCGTCGGGGCAAGCTCCAAGGGCGACATTGCCCTCGATGACATCATACTGATGAGTGGCGACTGCCCACCGCCTGGCACCTGCGATTTCGAATATGACACGTGCGGCTTCACTAATGTCATCCCTGGAGCAGACTTCTCCTGGATACGTTGGCGCGGTCCCACGCCAAATTATGGCAGCGGTCCGCACGAGGATCATACCCTCGGTGCTACAGGTGGGTTTATTGTAATACCCTATAGAATTATTGTAGTTGTTGATAATTTATTTGATGTTATTGATGTGATGATTTTATTTATTTTTAAGACAACTTTTTTGTTAAATAGCAGTGTGAATAATGATGATGATTATGATAATGGTGATGGTGCTGATGATGATGATGATGATGATAATGGTGATGGTGCTGATGATGATGATAATGATGAATATGATATCATGATGATGATGGTGATGATGATGGTGAAGATTATTATTATTATTATTATTATTATTATTGTTATATCATCATCATCATCATCATCATCATCATCATCATCATTGTTCTGAATAGTTGTGACACCACGGTGATGTGATGTTCAGAGGATGTTGATCTGGATGGAAAGACACGGAAGACTTTGTTGCTTAATTGACCATTGACAGTAATGTATTGTTCATCAGCCTGCATCTTAAAGCAATGATGTTTAATTGGTCATCAATTCCATCTTTTGCAGGCACCTACATTATCGCGAGCTCCGACTACCCACAACTGAGTGGAGATAGAGCATTGCTTAAGTCGACTGAATTCACAGGCGGCACGAAACGATGTCTGGTTTTCTGGTATTACATGTATGGTGCTTACCTGGGCACCCTAAACATTATTGTGAACACTATTCCTGGCAAGAACACAACTGTGTGGAGCAAGACTCATGAGCAAGGACCAGTCTGGCATCTAGCGTAAGCATAAGCACAATGTAGGCATAGTAAATAGTATATATACTTATAATAACTTAGACTGTAGTATACTGTAGTCTAGGTAAGTATTAGCATGATAAATAGTTGTTTTTTCATTGCCTAGGGTTCTGAATTAATTTCAGTGTTTCCAATGCAGTTATATAATCCGTAATATCATGCACCTCTTGTCATTTGTTTGCAGTGAAGTTGATCTAAATATTGCTGAGAACTACGTCATCATCTTTGAAGGAATCATAGGTGACACCTACAGCTCGGATATTGCATTGGATGACATTAGCCTGCATGACAAGACGTGCAACAAAACAGGTGTGTAGTGGTATAACAGGAGATATAATTCTCAGTTTGTCATGGATTTTGTGTTCCATGAACGTGTTACATGTACGATTGACATTTTTTTAATTAATTGTTTTTCTGCAGTGCTGCCGCCTACAACCTTCAAATGTGTGAGCAATGGTATCATCTTGTCTGCAGACAAACAATGTAACTTTGATATAGATTGCCAGGATGGATCGGATGAAGTGGAATGCGGTAAATCACATTTGCAATTTAGTATGAACAAAGCTTATAACGAAATGTACAAGATTGCACAAGGATAATAAGAATTGTATTCTGTTATCACAAAATTCTTGCTATATTTAGTGATGTTTATATTTATTACAATGGATTTGGTTAAGTATTCATGGTACAATATATTAAGCTAACAGGAGTTAAAATCTGTGAACATTCGCCTATGTATAATGAACAAAAACGACGTGACTGACTATTACTTTAACTTCTTCAGGTGACTGTGACTTTGAAAAGGACAACTGCCGATACACGGAGGAGAGTTATGGGGATTTCCAATGGCATCGTGGCCGCAATGGCTCTTATTCTGCCAACACTGGCCCATCAGTGGATCACACACTTGGCACTAGCCTAGGATGGTGAGTCAGTATTAGAAATACTAGTAATACTCTTTGTTAAATAAATCTTTATTCAGTAGGTCCAACCAAACAGCGCTCTTGTTTTCGGTATGTGTAACAGTTATTTTATCGGGCTCATTTTGATTATTATCTCTATCTATAATGATCAATATTTAAAATAATGAAAGTCACCAATAGTATATAGCAGATTATGCTACTAGTTGGTAGTTTCATTAGAAGCTAGAGACTCGCACAACATTGAATCTAAAAATAAATAACAAATTTTGATGTTTTGTTGTCGATATGTCAATTTTTACTTTTGAAAAGATAATACATTGTAAAGCATATGGATAACGAAATATTACCAAGTTATTTCGGATCTCATGCAAAATTGTCTCTATCTAAATTTGCCTAAAGGAGTCTGATGAAGTTTTATCAGTAGTCAACATTTATTCTCACGTGCTTTTCTGCATGTACAATTGTCGTCGTCCATCGAATTCTTCACCATCGTGTTGTGGTCGTTGTCTTGCGTGCAGGTACCAGTACGTTGACTCGCGTAACGGCACGTCGTACGACCTCTCCATGCTGCACTCGCCCTACCTCCACAACGCCGGCGGTCCGTGCCAGCTCGTCTTCTTCTACCACATGTACGGCAGTTCCATCGGCACCCTGCTCGTTGTGCTCACCACGGGCTACCGCGAGACTGTCATCTGGGATGAGTCGTACGACCAGGGCGACGTCTGGCGGGAGGGCATCGCTAACGTCGGCCGCGTGCCCGCCGAGTTCAGGCTCGCGTTCAAGGGCAAGCGAGGCTACGCGGCGACAGGCGACATTGCGATCGACGATGTGAGCCTGCGCTACTGCGACGTGCCACGCCCGCAGCCGACGTGCCCCCCGGACAGCTGGCGCTGCGGCAGCGGTGCGTGTGTGCCGCCGACGCGTGCCTGCGACTTCACGGACGACTGCGGCGACAACAGCGACGAGAACGCGACCACGTGCGCCACCTACGAGCGCTGCGACTTTGAGAAGGGCGGGTTATGCTCGTGGCAGCACGAGGTGGCTGACCTCCGCTGGACGGTGTGGCGCGGAGCGACACCGTCTGAATTCACGGGACCGAAGCGCGACCACACGACGGGCCTGGACTCTGGTTACTACGCGTACATCGAATCGTCGTCCCCACACAGCCAGTATGATAAAGCTAGACTTGCCAGCGTTGGTTTCCAGGGCGGCGTGTCAGACTGCAAGTTACGGTATATAGTAATAGTAGTATATGTGTGCGTGCGTGCGTGCGTGCGTGCGTGCGTGTGTATGTATGTAGGAACGTACATACGTACGTACGTACGTATGCATGTATGCATGTATATATGTATATATATATATATATATATATATATGTTTCAGGGATCTTCCCAAGCATATAACGCATGTCGGGTCTCAGATGTCTTCAAAACTGAAGCTAATTTGCAACATATTCCATAAACCATCCGAAATGCCTTAATTGCCTAATTGACATGCCTTAATTTTTAGCTGTATTTACTTTTGACAATGACAACACAGCCATGCTATGTTTTCACAGCCTGTATACATACTATGTATATGACTTAGTTGATTGAGTTTACCTGTGCATCGGGGCTGCATTTGACATGTGCAATTGGCTCCAATTAGTACATTCCCGGACCCTCCCAAATTTGTCCATAAATGACATACCTTCTAAAATTCCCCTGGGGGTGAACTCTGGTGTAACCGTCAATTGTATATTTTGATTTCTCACTTATTTGCATAAAACCTCCATAAAATTTTTAAACTATAACGAGCCCAGCTGTGGAGGTGCAAACGAAAAGCAGTTATGAGTTTTTGTGCTTTGAGTGCTATCAGTCTTTCTGCTCTGAATGAGGTGCATGTCTACGCACGACAGGTTCTACTATCACATGTATGGTTTCACGATGGGCAACATGACAGTGTACATGCGCACGGCATCTGGTTATCTCAACCAGCTGTGGCAGCACAAAGGACAGCGTGGGAACTACTGGGAGAGAGCTGAAATACCACTCACCGCCAGCGAACCATTCCAGGCAGGGGCACTCTTCTATATAATAATAATAATATTAGTAATAATTATGTTAATTATGTTAAGAAGCGCAGAAAATCGCACTACTTGGAACAGCACACATCCTGCGAAAAATTCTGGATTGAATCCCTATATGTCCCAGGTTGGGACACGACCAACCCAGAAGCCACCGGCTAATGCCGTGATCCACTTTGGAAATAATAATAGTAATAATGACAATAATAATAATGAAAATAATAATATATAATGATCATGATAAACCTATTAGTCACAGTTAGTGTGTTAAATATGTTGCTATTAATGCACTCCTGTATATTGCAAGATCTTAAAGGGAAGTGCGGATAGAGACTTGGACACACATGCATGATCTGAAGCATGCGTGTTAACACGGTAAGAACGTCTGTATGCAGGTTGTGATTGAGGGAACTGTGGGAAGCTCGTGGGTGAGTGACATGGCCATCGACGACCTCAGCTTCACGACGGGATGCACGCAGCAGGGAGGCGGCAGCTTTACGACCGTCGCCACGCCGGCCCCGGGAACGCCGGCGACCACACAGAACCCGTGCGCGGCGGGCGAGTACTCGTGCGGCGACGGCGTCTGCATCCCCGACACGCAGGTCTGCGATTGGCTCTCGCAGTGCGCCAATGGAGCAGACGAGGCCATCTGTGGAGCTTGCACGTTTGAACATGGTAGGTGTGCTGTCTGTCCTCATACGGCGTCTATTCTCGTGAAGATAAAACTAGTAGTCTTGATTGAAGATGGTATATATTATATATGTATAATTTTACTAGCGATATAGCATTAGTTATTAAAAAAAAGAGTTTAAAAGTATGGTGTTGAAATACTTTCTACCTATAAATACTGTTATATGTGTGTACAATTACTGTTATATGTGTCTTTTTATTGTTTTTCTTTAATTAAGCTTTCATGAATGTAGTGGAAACTTTGTCACCAATATACAGGTTTTGTTGCAAAGGAATATAGAACGAAATATGGCTGGGTTTATGACTTACTAAAATTCACAGAATTAATTTTAGACTTCAATGATTTGAATGCATTTTATTGCCAATGCGAGGATTTTTTTGAAGTGAATTGATGCAAATTTTTCTGCCTGCAGGAGAATGTGGATGGGGAGACAAAAGTACTGGTCAATATCAGTGGGACAGACATTCTGGTTCACAGCCAAGTCACTTTGCTGGGCCACCTGTAGATCACACTTATGGTATGTTTATCAAATACTAATATAAGTACTTTAGGTATAATCACTTTAATTAAGGTGCATTTATGACCTTAAATATGATATATACGGTGACTGGATTGCTATGCTTCTGTGTACAGAATTACCCTACACATCTGCCTGTGTTATGGTGTAATGCTATTTCATGGAAAATTTAAATGTGATTTGTATCTATTTGGTGCGTACAGGCAACAGTTCTGGCTGGTATGTGTTTGTCGATGGAGCCACTGGTGAGTTCTTCAGCACGGCCATCTATCAAAGCCCCTTGCTCAGCGAGACGTCATACATGTGTTCGATGAAGTTCTGGTACCACATGTCGGGATCGGACCAGGGTGAGCTTCTTCAACACATCTTTACTCTCACAGTGCTTAATCCAGGGACACACAGATAATTTTTGTACGACCAGTGCTATCGTAAACATCACCCGTGTGTGCCCTGCTTTGAAACTATCAGTGCGTATAGTTATATGCAAATAGGAAAATGTTCTTATAGACACTATAGAGTACCGAAGTGATGACGTCACGGTGGCATGACAACGAGCCCACTGGTTCTACACAATCATATGCTCTGGTAACATTAACTGCGTGTCGTGTTTTGTACCCGATTGTAACCAGCATTCTGAGAGTCATTATTGCAGTTTTTATAGATTTCCAAAGGATGGAAGTGAAAAGCAACGAGAAAAAAAAAAAATGTAACAAAAAAAAAATGTAACCAAAAAAATTTTTTTTTTTCAAATATTTTTTTCCCCATTCATTCAATATTGTAAGAACGACTTGCTACCGATGCTTTACCGCTGTCTGCAGCGCACACACTCGTGTTTTACGTACGCACAACAGTTGACCCTATGGCTACACCATGGAGCCAGTGGCTTGTGTAGAACCAGCCCGTACGTTGTCTTGCCAACGTGACGTCACACTTCGGTACTCTATAGAGTACCGAAGTGATGACGTCACGGTGGCATGACAACGAGCCCACTGGTTCTACACAATCATATGCTCTGGTAACATTAACTGCGTGTCGTGTTTTGTACCCGATTGTAACCAGCATTCTGAGAGTCATTATTGCAGTTTTTATAGATTTCCAAAGGATGGAAGTGAAAAGCAACGAGAAAAAAAAAAAATTTAACAAAAAAAAAATTTAACCAAAAAAAATTTTTTTTTCAAATTTTTTTTTCCCATTCATTCAATATTGTAAGAACGACTTGCTACCGATGCTTTACCGCTGTCTGCAGCGCACACACTCGTGTTTTACGTACGCACAACAGTTGACCCTATGGCTACACTATGGAGCCAGTGGCTTGTGTAGAACCAGCCCGTACGTTGTCTTGCCAACGTGACGTCACACTTCGGTACTCTATAGCTCCAGCAATCACAAAATAATAGTTACAGCAGTTGACTGATTGATGATCCTGCAGAAAAGATGGTGTAAAGTGTAATTATTATTAGTTATTAATTAATTATCTCTCGATTATTATAATAATCTCTTTTCAGCAGTATGGCACGGCAGTGTGCACAGTATGTGTATTATTTGCAGGCCAGCTCAGTCTGGTGTTAGACGCAGATGGTACCGGCAACCAAAACAAGGAGCTGTGGACTGTTAAGGGCGACAAGGGTAATCAGTGGAATCCTGCCACAGTGTCGCTTGGCAGGCAGATGAAAGGTTTCCGCATGCAGTTTGAATCAGAGGTAAGCAGTAGACTGTGTGTGTGACACTCGTCTGTGTGGGAGATAGTGCGGCGTGTTTTGAGCCTATCATCATGATCATATTTCTATTTGATGTTGATATTGCTCTTGAAGTACGTACTCCTTTTCACATGCTTGTCTGGAGTAGTATTTCAAGATGCCCTCTTAATTGCATTCTATATTTATTCTCTATATATTCTTAAATGCAGAAATTGCGATAAGATTATAACTGGTTCCTGGGAAAGGCAAATACTAACATTATTGTTACTGGAATTTTCATTTGGGGAATAGACTACAGAAGAACAAAATTTGATTCTTAGATTCCCAGAGATCAGATGATTGCTCTTGTCGATGACATTGCTGTGGATGACATTGAATTTATCAAGTGCAACGCTGACATAGTTAGCATGGAATGTGATTTTACGGTAAGGTATCATTTATTAATTCCCAAGCACGCACGCACGCACCAGTTATTATTTGGTAATATCAAATGATCCTAGGTATGCGTCTGACAATTTTTCGTCACTTAAAATGTTATTACCGTTATAGCAGTTGGCTAATTTGATATATAAGTCACTGTATCACTGTGAATTAAATACATATCCCGTGTTATTAACATAATTACATTTCTATCCAGATGAACAAATGTGGATGGGTTGATGACAATACAGATGACTATGACTGGACAAGGCAGAAGGGATCGACGATGAGCTCTGGAACAGGCCCTAGTGGTGACCACACCACGGGATCCGGTAGGGAAAATATTCACGAAATTTGTTGCCAGGGGACGGCTCTTGTCACGTGATAGATAATAGGCGTAACATCCAAACCAGACAATGATGGTGAGAACGAAAGTGAGCCAGAAAATGGTGCAAATGGTGCTTCTCTCTGTTATTCTGATTCAGATCTTCCTTAATTTCTCTCCCATTATTATCATGATAATATACACGTTGATTGGCAATATATAATCAATATGTGAATTTAAAAATGTTTACTTGCATTCATATTTGTTTTTCTAGTACATCTTTTAGCTGGGAAATTTTCTGTAGGAATGCATCTAATTGTATCCCCCGCGACGAAGTCGGCGGGGATACTATGGTTTCATGTCTCCTCAGCCGCCGCCGCCGCTGCTCGGTCTGCCGCAGAGAATTTCCCTTCCGCTCTATAACTCGACCCCTAATTGACCTAGCGTGACCAAATTTGGTATACTTACACATCTTGGGGAGAAGGTGTGCAGAGTACCAAAACCAGGTCACTGCGACCTTTATTTGACTTTTACCTTGACCTTGATCATATTTCCTTTCCACTCTATAACTCGGGCCCCTAATTGACCTAGCGCGACCAAACTTGGTATACTTACACATCTTGGGGAGAAGGTGTGCAGAGTACCAAAACCAGGTCACTGTGACCTTTATTTGACCTTTACTTTGACTTTGATCATATTTCCCTTCCTCTCTATAACTCGGCCCCTAATTGACCTAGCGCGACCAAACTTGGTATACTTACACATCTTGGGGAGAAGGTGTGCAGAGTACCAAAACCAGGTCACTGTGACC